TTATATAATTAATTTACTTTATATTTAAAGTTAATAAAAATATATTACTTTAATTAACTATTAATTTAATTAGCACTTTAATAAAAAGCTAGTTCTTTAAAGTAATTAATTTTTTAATATTTAATATTACCTTTCACCGGGGAAGCGGATGTCAGATGTTAGTGGAGTACCATAGTCCAAGCTTGGATTTTTAGACAGCTCCTCCTGTCCGGTGAGTACGCTACCACGATGCGTCGTCTAACTTTTTGTCACTCCACTATTCCAGTAGGGTGACATGAACACCCACTTCATAATAAACTCACAATCATCGCCGCCAAACAAGGCTCAGCCCAAGGGACCTCATAACGCTCGCAGTGGAGTCGGATGGGAATATGAAGCGAAGTCATTACGCCTGTGACCAATGCCGAAGGTCAAAACGAGCTTGCGATGCACCACCTCTTCTTGGCCCTGCATCTTCAAGATGCAGCACCAGTTCCGTGACACTAGGAGAGCGGCTCGGTAAGTCAACCGGCCTCTGATGACCATGGCTAATTGTAGTTAATTGAGGTAGCCTCTGGGACTGGCCATGAGCCTTGTTCCTACTGCGCAAAGACGAGGAAGACGTGTACTATGAACTGGGCTTGGTCACAAATACAAGCAGCGACCTCAATAGATGCTTCAGGCCATGGGCCAAATGTTCCAGTCAAGAGGCAAAGAAGTGAAGCGGCTCATACATCACACCAAGCAACACCAGCTTTTGAGAAACAAGATCCAATATCTGCGGGTTCGCGCGTCAATAGCTCATCAAGGCCTTTGTCTCATGATCCAAATCGTCTCACTCAAGGCCCGCGTTTACCCAACCTTCAAAGAGCAGCTCAACCACCAGCCTCAAGTTCAATCAACGGTACCGCATTTCAGACACCTCTCACTCATAATAATACATCACCTCTTAATAATTTCAACACCGTAACCGGCCAGTTCTCGCCCAGTTATCCGCAATCGGCTTATTCGCAACCGAATGACTCACGTCTCTCAACCCAGTCACAACTCAACGCTTGGTCATCTACTCCTCCATCAAACTCATCTAGATCTTACAGTCACTTATCTACGCCGTCAATTGGAGAGGACACCGCTAGCGAAGATGACGCGACCAGGTTCAAGCGTCGGCGCACATCACCAATCTGGACTGATCGTCGTATGAACTCGTTATCGCCATTCTCAGTTGACCAGACAATGATGACGAGGACCAACAACCAGTTCATTTCCACAAATCTCCTTCAAATTTACCATGATGTTCTCGAACATAATCTTTCATGTTGGCTCACAGAAGTCACATGCCCCTACAGAGCTCCAGGTTATGTCACCTCAGGGAATTGCGCCCCTACAGAATGGGGATCATCGTGGTCAAATCGTATTTATCGCCGCACTATCAACCTCGACCATGCAATCCAGACAGCCAAACTCACTCGGCTAACTCGGGCTGAAGACCAAGGCGCCGCCAAGGCATTCCACCTTGCCATCATGGCATTTGCAACGCAATGGGCTCAAGGCAGTCGACGCCAACAACAGCGCTATTCTGACGAGGATGAAAGGCCGGAGGATATTCTCAACGACATCAATGAGGAGTTTGATCGAAACATTCAACGGAATATCTGGGAGCAGGCAAAAAGAGCCCTGCAGGAAGTCTCAGACGTTGAATCATATCGTGTGGCGACGGCGGAGCTAATATTTGGTCTCACGCAAAAGCCATGGACCCGCGATGATGAGGCGATGGCCCCGAAGAAGGCCAGCACATTGATCAGTGCTTCTCCAAAGGTGGACTTGAAGGCTTTGAATGCTGAGCTGGGAGAAATCATATCACGAGATGGTCTTCCGGTCTTCATGGAGAGAGCCGCACGAAAGATGCATGCTCTCAAGTTCCGTTTCGATTCAGGCCGCCGTGGTGTCACGGGACCTCTCACTAGCCCAAAGAACAACGACTTGTTGTCTATGATGAACCCTGAAGACCGTGGCACTGTTGGGCTGCTCTACTGGCTTGCTGTTATGCTTGATACTGTTTCATCATCTATGAGCGAGCGTCCGGTTGTTGTTGCTGATGCAGACAGTCAGCATGACGATGCAGACGAAGATCTTGACTCAACGACAAACGGACGGTGGAACGTACCCCTATTTATCCAAGACAATCTGGAGCAGCCTCACATGTATCATACTGTGCACTGGCCTTGCTCTTATGAATCGGCAGCGGAAGCCGTCACTAAATCAGCACCCGTCAAGGTCCTCCTCTTCCGGCACGTCTCTTATCTACAAAACATTCTAAGAAGAGGTGGTCGAGGTGAGAAGGTTGAAGAAACAATCAAAAACACAACCTCGCTATATCGATATTGGAATATGACGCATGGTGCGTTCTTCAAGGAGCTCCTTCACGACTACGAATCAGTGCCAGCCCGTCTTCAGAGCTGGTTTGTCTGTATCTCAGCGCATTGGAACCTCGGTGCTCTCATGCTGGCTGATCTGATCGAGTATGTCGATGAGAACGAGCTAGGAGAAGCAACAGCGTCTCAGAGCAGATTAGCCAGCAAGATGGTCACAAGAATACGTGAAGCGAGTGCACGAGAACTATCCGATCTGGCAAAAGTATCAACGCCAAGTCACAACCTACCAAACATGGCGGCACCTCAGATGTCACATTTCCACCATGCGGTAAACGAAGCAACTATTCTTACAGAGCCTTGGACTATCATCCTCATCAGGGCGTTTGCCAAGGCAGCTATGATATTAATACACGAAGCGAATGATTTCTTGGAGTTTGGACTTACTACACCGGCCAACACTGGTCATGATTTTCAGGAGAGCATGCGTCGTGCACAAGATTGTGTAAAGGGTTTGTGGATATTAGGAAAGAAGTCTGATATGGCGAGGAGGTCGGCAGATACCCTGGTCTCTGCGATGAAGAAGTTGAAAGTATAATGGTGTTGTATAGACCTATCTGATATTCAGAACTTCAAACAGCTATTAGAAACATTGTGTGTTTCTCTTTTTTTCCGTGTTGACCCATGCCTGCTCTGATGGACACATGTCATTCTAAAATTTAGACCCCTTTCGTGTAATCAATACCAGTAGCTATTAGGCATACATGCAGCTATTGCAACGCGGTATTTGGCAGGATGGACAAGACGGTTCAAGTGCCAAGCTCATCCATCCACAGTCACAGTTACAGCACTGCCACTGCCTCGGTACGCCTCTCTGTCGTCCTGGGTTACTGCTACTACCAGCAAAGCTACCCAATTCTGATTGAGTTCGCCCTCCTAAATCAGCCTCCTTTCCTATCGAAAAGTAGTCGGTCGTTCTCATGGATGTACCGGATTTTTCGTCGAGCTCTGAAGCAGCTTGTGCCGTTCTCTCTTTCTGGTCTTTGTCCAGCGAAATAACGTCCACATTTTGGGATGTTCCAGCTTCGCGGAATGCAGGGTCCAACCCATGTATTCCTGCATTTGTATTGTGCTGTAATGGCGTTTCGTGTGCCGTGATAAGGCCGCGGGGAATTGCAAAGAGTGCCAGTTGTTTCTGATGTTTTCCAATGTGACTTTGATATATTTCCGTGCTCCTCAGACGCTTCTTGCACAGAGGGCATGCTGTTTTATCGGGAATCTCTGTCTTGTTCATGGTACTGAGCCAGACAAGCTCTTCAATTTCAGAAGGGTTTGTAGCGTTTGCGTGGTTTTGCGCAAGATGTTCTCTGCATTCGTTTCTCGAGGCAAATCGCAGGTTGCATCCCAAACAGCAAGTATAGATTTTCCAATGTTCCTGAAGAACGTGGCTGATCCAGTCCTTTCGGCGAGCATATCGATGTTGAGGCATAGAACAGTCTTGTTCCAGGCAAAGATAAGGTCGGAGATCACTATACACGTGTTTTCTTCGAACCGTCAGTTCCTTACTATACCAAATTTTTATTACTACTTACTTCCAAGCCGTTGCTGACAGCCCTCTGACCATCTTATGGCACAGGTGGCATCGAAATAGCTCTCCCTCGCGTGCTCTTTGTGGGAGAGGAGGAATTTGACGAGCTTTTAGATCGTCAGAAGCTATGTATGACGTTTCAGATGAGGCCTCATCAAAATCCTCCTGGTGCTCGCTTCCTTGGTCGGTCAAGGCTACTAAAGTAAATTGGTTGGTAAGGCCCTTGAGTGTTGGTTCACCTGCTAGTCGGCCTTCTTCAGGGTGGGAGCCCAGCTCTGCCGCTGCCGATTGTTGTCCCCGAAAGAGTTGTCGCCTGGCTGAGATGGCTTTCCCAAGGCGTTCTGCTATGACCTCGTCGACCACAGGGTACTTCGAGCGAACGTGCTGAATATCGAAGGGCTCATAATGCGAGGTTTCGTTCTTTGTTCTGTCATCAGCGATTGTTTCTCTCAATGCCGAACCCAGATATGAGAGATTGTCAATAGCATCGGCTATATGGGCCAGAACCTGCTCTATCTCTGTTTCAGGGAAGCTGATTAGTGGTTCCCTCTCGTCTTTTGATTGGGGGTTCTCCTCGTCCTCGTCGCTGATCTGATCCCAAGGTTCCCGACAACCGACTGTGATTGCGTGGGCATCTTCGAGTAATCTCTGTATATGGCTCAGAAGCCGGATGGCTTGCTCTTTGACACGCCCGTTGTTCTGTAGTTTTCTTTCAAGTGAGCCTGCTCCAGCATTTCTCGACCATCGAGCGAATCGACTACGCCCGTCGTTGAATTTGACGAGTTCTTCGGGTTTGTAAATATAATGGTTATCCGGATTTTCCAGTTGTACATATAGGTCTTCAAACCCAATGATGCAGTCTTGTACAAGTAGATCAATGCTCTTAGACATCTTGAGGATTTTCTAGGATTAATCCTTCATGTTGTAGAGACATGGTTATATGCTGACAAGTGGAAGATACTTGAATTCGAGCCCTTCAATGTGCAGATACGCCACCTCACAATATGCACATGCATACACCATATTTGTTCTTGCACCTTCGACCCCTCATTCCTACCTAACTCGTTCATGCCCAAGCAACAATGAGAGTGTGACGTCCCAGTTGAGTACCATCGTTCAGATGATCCATCAACGCCGGAATCAGACACGCCCGGCACCATCAGAATCATGTCTGGACTTGAGATCGCTGGTCTTATTCTGGGAGCAATTCCAGTTGCGATTGAAGCACTCAAGACGGGGAGTCAAGGAATAGCGATACTCCAACGAAGCCGCAGGTACGAGAATGAATTGGAGAGGCTGATCAACAGGCTCGAGAATGAACGCGTAAGGCTTGAAGATGTGTGTGAGAAAGTTCTCGTTGATCTTGTGCCTCACTCGCGATTAGAGGAGATGATCCAAGACCCTGGTCGCATGTTCAACGATGACCCAGAACTTAAAGCCAAACTTCAAAGGCGATTGTGGAAAGGCTTTGATCTCTTCGATCAGACTCTGAAAGATATCAACGCTGCCATGAACGAGGCTATAAACCGTATTAGTCTCCAGGTCCAAGATGAGTTCAGCATCAGAAGGTCACTCAGACACTCTTTCCTTGACGATTTGTTATCTCGGATCAATGAAGGGGTTTCGGTCCTCGAGCAACTCGTGGATAGGAGCATACAACTCGAGCCAGCCAGAAAGATGCGCTTCCAAGGCAAATTCTTGTGCTACATGCGGGGCATGGCATCTGAGCTCTTTGCTGCCTTACAAGCAGGCTTTGGCTGCCCATGCGAGCATCACATTGGTTTGCAGTTGGAGAAACGAAGATCGGATATTGTTCCGGACGATATCGAGCATGATAGTCTCATCGGAGGCGCCGAATTTCGTCTCTCTCTCTCCTATCAAGAATCCAGTGCGAGCCCTGCCGCTCCATCCAGTCATGCTACAAAATGGTCTGATGTGTTGGTCAAACCAACGCCTGCAGCGAGCTCGCACGCCATGGCACAAACCTTGCGTTCGAGATTCGAAAAGCGCTTGCAATCTACAGGATCGATTAGGCACTCGACATTCAAGGGAGGCTCGTTTTCAACACTCACCAACTCGACTCATCCCCCAGGCAACTCACAAGAGGTCGAGATGGTAACACGCGAGGAACATGTGCCGGCTACCAAGATCTTAGACCTTTGTGGAATCATTAGACAGCCTTTTGTGCGACCATCAGAAAACTGCTTTGGGCTTATATCCAGCACGCTACTTCCCAAGAAACACACATATGATGTGTATCCGATTGTTGGGAGCAAATACAGAGAGCGTTGCGGCAGAACCATGACATCGTTGTACGAAGTCCTTGGGCAAAACCAACGACACATGATCCTATCAGAACATGACAGACTGAAACTGGCCCTGCTTATAGCTTCAAGTCTCCTCCAGCTTTACGGGAGTTCATGGATGCCCAAAGTCATTCGCAGCCAAGATATTTACTTGATCCAAGGCTCAGATGATCCTATCTGTGATCGCTTTTTTGTCTTGCAGAGCTTGCCGCACGTAAAGGTATCCGTTGAAGAAGAGCATCACGAGTTAACTTCGATGAGGAATCAACCGCTATTTTATTTAGGCGTTCTTCTGATAGAGCTTGCTTTCGGGAAACCACTTGAACTCCTTCGAAGTGAGCGGGACAAGTCAAGCATCGGGTCTCAGTTTTTTACAGACTATAGAACCGCAAAGCGATTGATGGACAATGTCACTAGCTTTTTGGGGCCAAGTTATGGGAGTGCAGTCTCACGATGTATTGATGGCGAGTTTCACAGCAGCGAAGTCGGGCTCGAGGACAGTAATCTGTCTCATGATGTTTACACAGGAGTTGTGATGCTTTTAGAGAAGAGCATTGGAGATCCGCTTGTCTAATCGAGCACAGAATTATATTAAAAGATAGAAGCAACATGATGTGCATCAATTTGCTGTTATCAATTCCTAGGCTTGTCATCTCATGGATATTTACACAGTCACTCCAGGTTAGTTCGGTATGTGTGAGACGAGAGTGACCAACTCGATACTTGACAAAAACAAGGCAGAAGCTCTCGAATGCATAAAAAAGTTATGAATGACGAACCAAGACTGAGTCAGTCTCTGGTTGAGCTGAGAAAGTGAGCAATGTCTCGAGTTTCTTTGACTGATCGACCAGGATGAGCCCCCTTGCACCATAATTGCTTTTTCCTGCTGGACACACAGCATCGATCAAGGTCAACAACACATCCTAGTAGTAAATCTCGCACGAGTCTCAGATCCTGCACTCGTTGAATCAATTACTCACTTCAACTGACACGATACATCTCACTTGTTTTCTTCTACAGGTATTCTACAGGGGTCATCCTCGGCCGAACACTCGGCATGTCTCCTCTCTTTGTCTCTGTGCAGATCTCTCGCCCTTGTCCACCTGCTCATCTGCCTAGTACCACCATATAATGGAATCCGTATCCACGGAACTGGCTGAGTGATAGCTGAGACACGGACTAAGTATCATAATGACAACTGATCAAGGGGGTATATCCCGACATTCAGGTCGTCAACTGAGACTACTCTGTGGATCCCTCCCTTTTGCCGACGAGAACTATCTAGCCTCATGTTTCTTCTACTGTACTGTACTCTTAGTGAAAACGAAACCTCCTACACTCGTGAGAGCACGAATGTTTCGGGCCAAGATAAACGCAAAGCCTTGGAAAGAGTTGAGGCGAGGTTTGAGAAAAGAAGCCACTCAACCCTTTTGGCGCCGGCCCATCCACTGCTAAGCCTTGCTAATACCCTCTCAGGCATGCTCATGCCCATGTCAAGCTGAAGTTGAAGGCTATCACCAAGACTAGTGATATTGACACTGATGAAAAGTTGACATGCCGATACTCACGACATCCCAAAAGCAAAGAGGCATCCCAGTGACCAGCTATCACATATCGTCGTATGAGATAGTTCTCTGATCGACGATCAAATGACGATTAACCCATGACAACTTGAGAATTCCTGTGAAACTTGGTCACTGACATAGTCACTGCAGAGATAGTCATGAGTCTTGTAGACTCTTGGATCGCTCAAGTTGCTGGCAGACACATGCAAGAGTTCTCTCCACGGAACAACAACGTTCCATCCCTCGCTCATCTCATGTTTCCAGAAAGACAGCATTTAAAACAGAGACAAGATCTTCCCATTCCTAAACGCCAGTTCGTCAAGCCCTGGCGCGTGGCAAACAGAGGCCGAAAAGCGACGGGTCTCAGAACGCCTCCCCAACTGTCTTCAGATCCCCTTTACTGATAATCTCAGCACAGTATTGCCCGATAATCGCTTTCACATAGTTTCTCTTCAAACTGCAAGCTTGGCATGAGCAAAGTAGATATGCACAGCTACTCTGGCGGGATCACGGTCCGTCGCCGAAAATCAAGCTCTTGTCTCACTCCAATGACCACTGACGGCCCAGGGGAGCTTCCGATAGGGCGAGCCAGTAAGCGACAAGGGAAAGGGATGCAAGTAATATATAGATCATATAATTCCACCATCAATGCTACAGAAGGGAACAAGTGACATCTATTCGTTGGTATGCAGGAGCTCAAGCAACCCGATATTGCTCCACCAGAACCATGATGACCAGGACTTTACTAGTGATGCCAGACAAAAGCATCTACTGAAACTATACTTCGGGTCAACAAGTTACCGTCGTAGAAAGGCTTCAACCCTTGTTGCTTTTTCCTCTGTGCCAAAAGCAAAGTAATACAAGCTCCTCTCAAATGCGTCATCACGGCACGAATCATCAGCTACAGACCATTAGCTCCAGACCGCAATATGAGACAAAGTATGTCAACAAACCTCGGCATATAGCTTCCTTGGCCAATTGAACGGCAACACCACCTCGAGCTGCGAGCTGCGCAGCAGCTTCGATAGTCTTGTCCAATACTTGCCCATCCTTAAACATGTCGCAGACCAGCCCACAAGACAATGCTTCTTCACTCGAGATCGGCGTTCCGAGCAGGATGGCTTTCATGGCCTGGGTTGAGTTAGTCAACAAACAAAGCCAGTCTCGGCTCCTCATCTCGAGCACGTGTATCATGAAGCTTACTCTGAATTTGCCCAAGGCAGACGTGAGTCGTTGAGTGCCTCCCGCTCCAGGGATGAGACCGAGATTCACCTCAGGGAGCATAAACTTGGCACGTGGCGATGCATAGATAAAGTCACACTGATGCATGTTAGTTGCTGGCTATTGTTCATTGTGTGGTAGTCTCACCATCATGGCAAGCTCAAAACCACCTCCAAGCTATCACGAGTTGTCAGTTACAGGCACTATCACAAAGTGTGGAAGGGACCATACTGCAGGCCCATCTACTGCTGCTAGAATAGGCTTCCTCACAGCAGCCATGCCATGGCACAGATCTTCCAGGTAACGACAAGATCTGGCGGCTTCAGCATCCATCGTCGATATCTCCTTGATATCCGCACCAGCTGTCGAGCAAGTTAATAAACTGCCGAGAAAACGTGGTTCGGAACTTAACTCACCCGAGAAGCAAGAGCCGTATCCAGTTATGACAATGACTTTGGTGTTTGAGTCAGCCGAGGCTCTTGAGAGAGCTCCAAGGAACTCAATGATCATGGCTTTTGAGAGGGCATTGCGCTTCTCTGGGCGGTTGAGTGTGATCACTGAAACCCCTGGTGCGTGCGCGGGAGAGTCAGCAATGATGAGACTGGCATCTGACATGATGATTGATGACGTTGGAAGAAGAGATGATCAAAGGGAAAGTAGAGCTTTGAGTAGGTTGATAGTGTCAGGAAGTGACAGACAGGTCTTCAACCCTGCTTAGTTGAGTATCTTTTATGCCAAAAGGACGCGCCATCAACTCCGAGCTGGCAGCACAATCATCAAAGACACTCTTGGTACCACCAAAAAGCCACAGCCTATGTATATCTTCACGGTATCTTCACACACCCCGAATTGCAGGGCGGGAATGGATCTCCAAGACATGTCCGTCATAATCGTTAGCCTTGGACAAGGGTTCACTACCTCTTAAGATTGACTGGCAGGTTCCGGTTTCCAGGGTGTGGTCGAGTACCCCGACTAGGATCCAGCCCATCGGAATCAGGCAAGGTAGTATTGAAGGAATACCCCAGAAGTCGGTTCATCAATGTGAAAAGCTATTTATCGGTACCTGAATTGCGGGCCCTTGTCCGGATACCCCCTTGTGTCCACATGTCTCATCGCCCGTCACATTCCTCTCTTGACCGGGCTGCCCCGTCCCACATTCTTCCGTACCCCGGGGCCGGCTCCGTATAACCAAAACCCCCGGGCGGGTGTGAGAGGAATGCAGAAGCAATTATGACAATCTGGGTCCGCCGTCCCCTCCGGGGGCGTGAGTTCGATCCCAAGTTGCTGTGGAAATCAGGGCAACCTCCATATCTCACGACGACGTCAAACCCCCATGGGGACATGTCAAGGGACGATTGATTGACCAAAGACCGATAGTGATGAGTATGGGCATCTCAGAAGACAAAGGTGAATCATCCTTTCCAGGGCGGGTGCCACCTTTGCCACGCCGTTGAAAATATATAAGCCCGTCCGTTGTTATCTCAGGGTCAACTCAACGGTCAACAACAGACATCAACAATCCCCATTGTCTCTTTCTCACCTTATTTCACTCTTTGAGGTGCCCTCTTCACAATGACCGTCGTCAGCCCGCTACAGGGACATTCCCTGCATGAGTCAGCTCTTCAACTTGGCCAAGGGGACTGTGTCGAGCCTCTATTCCCAACAGTCACTTCAGCATTCTATCATCATGCAAGAGCTTCTCCAGATACCATAGCCCTCCGTGATCTCTCAGGGTCATTAAAAGAGCTTACCTATGGGCAACTTGCAAAACAAGCCCAAGAGTTGGCTGCAGAGCTCATTGCTCGAGGTGTCTGTCCTGACTCGCGGGTACCCCTTGTTGCCAAAAGAGGACTGGGCATGATCATTGGTATATGGGCAATCCTTTCATGCGGAGCTCAATATGTGCCTCTTGATGGAGGTGTCGTTCCTGATAAAACTATTCGTCGAGTTCTTGAGCAGGCCGGCGGTGGCGTCGTCCTTTGTCTGTCTTCAACAAAGCACCGCATAACCTCCCAACATCCCAACCAGACTGTGGTTGTTATTGACGAAATAAAAACGAGGCCTGTCGAAGAAGACGTTCACGTCGATCTCGCAACTCCAGATTCCGGCTGTTACGTGATATATACATCAGGTAAGTCAAGACAGAGCTCAATGTCTCAGAGTACACTTCTCACAAGGAAATAGGAACAACAGGAGAGCCAAAGGGCGTCGACATCACACACAGAAATGTTGCCAATCTTGTGTGCCTGGCCCCGGGAAACCTGGGGGTGAAAACTGGCACTTGCGTTGGCTCGGTCCTCAACATAAGTTTCGACATGGGTGAGTTTCTCGTATCCACGATGTTTCCAATTCTGACCCAACTCAGCGGCATGGGAGGTCTTGGTCTGCCTATGCAATGGAGGAACACTCGTTCTCCGAGGTTCCAATTGGGAACCAACTCTCCAACAGGTTCGTGACGGCCACATCACTCGATTGTCAGGCTCCGACTTACACGGAAACAGATTGATGTTCTCATCTGCACACCAACAATCCTCTCCAAATACCATCCTACACACTATCCCAGGATAAAAACAGTGGCCACAGCCGGCGAACCAACTACAACAGGGTAAGTACTCAGCTGAGCATAGTTTCCAACAGTTACTGACCGGCGTAGTCTCGCCGATTTGTGGGCAAGCCACGGCACATATTGGAACTGCTGCGGCCCTACAGAAACAACGATCGTAAATACTATGCATCGCCATGTCGTTGGACAAGAATTATCAATCGGTCGACCGACTCCGAATAACAT